TGGGGGCAATATGCTGACTCTCTGTAAACCGCTTAGAGAGGCCTGAAAGGCCTATGAAGCGGTATATAAGTCTACTGCTATTGCTATTCTAAGCAAAAGGTTTCTCATTACCTCTTTTTCTCATGCATACATGCACACAGGCATAGGGAATCCAGTAACATGCGAGACTATCTTTGCAATCTGTGTTTCGTCAACTTCATTTCCCGTGATACGAAATACCGTTCCTATTGAATGAAAAGGCAGGAAACCAGTCCAGTTGCTAATTGTCACATCGCACATGCATAACTTGTTTTCAAAAAAATTGTTCCTTTAAAATAAAATAGGCAACCAAAAGTTTGGAACAATTTATGTCTTGTCTTGGTTTTTTTTAAAAAAAAAAAGCTGGAAAAGATAGTCATATGTTGCCGCTACTGTTATTTTATTTCGTGCCTGAAAATATCAGCAATGAGGGATGTTTTCCAAGCATATCCTTTCCAGCTGAATTAAGAGACAACTTGATCAGCAACAGACTCTAACATGACTGTTTTAAACCAGTGAAGCAGAAAATACCATCTGTTCTACCATGAATATTTCTAAAATAGAACAAGAGCATGTGGAGATGTCTACTTTTTCTATGCAAGAATGTGAGGAAAGCGGCGAAAGACCCCCTTTGATGGGAAAGAGAGGTTGGGATGAGCTATCATAGTTCAGACTTCAATGTCATTAGCTAGCAATGGAGTACTTTTTAACTCACTTTCAAAGGCACTATAAAAGCTATAGAATATTTTAATATATTTGACTCATTATTATCTACAGCTAATGTCAGTAAAAATCTATGGTTGCATGTGATTAGATTGAAAAGCGTGCAACAACAAAAAAGCATTCTTAACAACAGCTAATTACAGAATATTCAGTTTAGTGTGTGTGTATGTGTGAGAGAGAGAGAGAGAGACAGACAGACAGACAGACAGAGAGAGAGAGACAGAGACAGAGAGAGAGAGAGAGAGACAGACAGACAGACAGACAGAGAGAGAGCACTATATAGACATTAGGCCCCCCTTCTACAATTTGAAAACTTTTAACAATAGGGGAGCAGGGAAAAAGAGAGAATCATTATTCTCAAACTTGTCATCCTTCTTTCCAAGGTAACTGAAATAGAGAATCTCTTCTATCCAATAACGCCTCCTGAGCAAGTAAGCTCTTGGAAGATGTACTTTAGACGTACAGATACATCAGTACATATTTATATGTCATCATATTTCAGGATGAGAAAAGAAATCAAAGCATTAATTGGTTATGCTAGTATAATAAAAAAAAATATTGTCCCACCCTTAGCATAAAAACCAGCTGGGTAACTTTGGGCCAGTCCCTCTCTCGTAGCCAGCCTACCTCACTGTTGTGAGCAAAATAGAAGAGAGAGGAGTATTAAAGATGTTTGACACTTTTAAAAAATGTTTCATTTATTTAATTTATATTACTTTCCATTTCCACCAAACAGTGTGTGATCTGAGTACAGTTATTTAAGCAGTCATAATCCACATATTTGTTATTATATTATTCACAATAATATTAATAATCTAATTATATATCAATATAATTACAATAATACGTAACATCTTCATCATCAAATTCTCTCCACATTAACATTTCCTCTCTTTTATATCTCCTCCTTTCTATCTTCTGTTTCTATTGTCTAACCATTGGTAAAATACATACAAAATATTCAGTTTCTTCTTTATCCTTAATAATAAGTGTTAATCTGTCCATTTCTGCGCATTCTAGTATTTTCTTAACTACACTCTCATCTGACGGGATCTCATCATTTTTCCATTGTTGTGCAAATACAATTCAGTTAGTGTATATTCAAATACAATTGCAGTTAGTATATGTAAAACCAGATGCTTGCCACTTTGAGTTACTCATAATAAATAAATAAATATCTTGTTACAACAGTGAAAAGTTATAATTCTATATATACTTATCTAGCACAAACATTATGTAAGTGTGTAAGTGTATGTATTTAGAAATACATATACTTGTAAAACACTTAGAAATGTATTACATGATACTTGAAAGGATTACATGATAGTTACATTACCATCTGCTTTTTTAAAATCTGTGTTTTGTTTAGATGTGTTCCATATTTCATTATATTTATTCATACAAAGTTTACATTTACAAGCAAACTGCTTATAGTCAGCAAGTGTAACCAGATCTTCAATCCATTGAATAAATCGGGTCACACATTTATCTTTCCAATCTTCCAATGTCAGTCTTTTTAGCTATAGGAAACAGAGAAACCATTTATGTTATGCAGTTGTAACAGTATACTATATTTTATATTTCTATTTTTTTGCTCTATTTTTCCACTTATTTTTAAGCATTTATATAGCTTACACACATGCATTTTGATAATCTATTCAGGCCACATTAATATTAACTTATGTTTGTGAAAGTGACTTTAGGACTTTATCCAAAATATATTTTTCAAGTATGGAAGTTTAATACCCCTTTAAAACATGTATTTGGATCCAGAGCAATCTTTACTAGCCTGGAGCCTTCCAAATGTGCTGGGATTACAATTTAACTATCAGCAACTTCTAGGAGTTATAGATCCAACTTATCTGGAAGATGCCAGGTTTAAGAAGCCGAGATATCAATGGATTAACAGATCCCAAGGCTGGCTACAGTTAATAAAACAAACTACCATAAATCATAAAACACCAAACTGTGGCAATCTATCAAACTATTATTAATGCAGAGTTGTACTATTAAACCAACAGATAAAACTTCATTAAGTTGCAATCAATTAAATCCTTGACTAAAGGCTTAAAACCCATGTAAGTACCAGCCAAGCTTCCAGATGGAGAACATTTCATAAGTTGGTATCGCAATGCAAATATAACTGTAGTTTTTTTTCCTTTCCAAAATGTATATTTATATGTCTATTTCCTCTCAAACACATATTTTTAAAAAATATTATTAAGATCTGGTTGTATCCACAAACCTATTGACTCCAAAAGATGATAAACTTGCAATGTCCTCCATTATAGCAATAGCACTTAGACTTATATACCGCTTCACAGTGCAGCCTTCTCTAAGCGGTTTACAGAGTCAGCCTATTGCCCCCAACAATCTGGGTCCTCATTTTACCCACCTCGGAAAGATGGAAGGCTGAGACAACCTTGAGCCTGGTGAGATTTGATCTGCCAAACTGCTGGCAGCCGGTGATCAGCAGAAGTAGCTTGCAGTACTGCACTCTAACCACTGCGCCACTGCCGCTTATTGTAAACATCCCCCATGTCTGTTGTTTTCTTGTTTATCCTGTTTATAATGTTTAATGTTTTTATTATAATTTATAGTGATAAGCTATTTTATGTATTTATTCATTGTTCTTATCTTTGTTATATGCTGCTCAGTGTCACTTTGGGTGAGATACGCGGCTATATAAATTAGAGATAGATGGATGGATGGATGGATGGATGGATGGATGATAGATGATAGACAGACAGATAATGAGATCTTGTTTGAGCTGAATATATGAAAACTATTAACAAAGTTATAGTTGTGTGTAAAGCTAAATATGTAACTTGTTTCAGTTGATATGTTGTTCCAAGGTGTGCAATAAGTTTATGTTGGAAGCCAATCTGGACTTGAATTAACAAATGTCAATTTTCAAGCATTGCTATCTTTAGCACTTTTTTCTCCTCCTACCCTCCCAAATCACTCATGCATGAATCATTTTCACCAGAGAGAGCCATAAGTGTTTGGCTGTCATTGGATTAACTCTCTTTGCCTGGATTTGTCCATGGAAATAGGAGAGAAGAGGATTCAGGGAGCTGAGCTGGAGAGCGATAGAATGTTGCAGGCTTATTGTTTTGAAAACTCTCAGTAAGGCAATCCAAAACCTTGGAGGAACATCACAAATACTTTCTCTTTTGGGACATAATAGCAAGTAGCCATCCTCTCCTTTCCCCTCCCTCATTATTGAATATGCAGGTGGTGGTGCCTGGAAATCTAATACATGGCTCCCTCCAGGTTTCATCGATATAAAATAGTAACACCTAATTTATGCATTGGGTTTAAATCTAGCGTTTTAAGGCTTTTGGATGTTGCTATTAGTGAGCAAGGGATGTGGTGGCTCAGTGGCTAAGACGCTGAACTTGTTGATCAGAAAGGTCAGCAGTTCGGCGGTTCAAATCCCTAGCACCACATAACAGAGTAAGCTCCCATTACTTGTCCCAGTTTCTGCCAGCCTAGCAGTTCGAATGCATGTAGAAATGCAAGTAGAAAAATAGGGACCATCTTTGGTGGGAAGGTAACAGTGCACCTTCGAGGTTTAATCATGCCGGCCACATGACCACAGAGACGTCTTCAGACACCACTGGCTCTTTGGCTTTGAAACGGAGATGAACACTGCCGCCTAGAGTTGGGAACGACTAGCACATATGTGCGAGGGAAACCTTTACCTTTAGTTAGCAAGCCATTTTCCCCAAATTAACTATTCTAAGGTGTTTCAAATTGAAAGCATAATATTTCCAAATGGTTCTATTGTACCCTTGAATCAAGTTGTCAGCAGATAATTCCCTGCCCTAAAGATAGGTTCAACGTTAAAAGAATTGATGAATATAAATATAAACCAAATCAACAATAGTGCTCTCTTTGCTCATCCTCTGAAAAGGTGACTTTTTCTGAATAACTTTGGGATAATTGTGCGATTCTTTCTTCAGTGTTTCAAAACTATGATATGTTTTATCAATGGTTGGACAAAAGGGATAGGAATTAGGAATTTAATAAGTATTACTATGTAAACGGAAAGTGATGCAGTGGTTCAGTGGCTAAGATGCTGAGCTTGTCGATCAGGAAGGTCAGCAGTTCGGCGGTTCAAATCCCTAGCGCCATGTAACAGAGTGAGCTCCCGTTACTTGTCCCAGTTTCTGCCAACCTAGCAGTTTGAAAGCATGTCAAAATGCAAGTAAAAAAATAGGAATCACCTTTGGTGGGAAGGTAACAGAGTTCCATGTGCCTTCAATGTTTAGACATACCGGCTACATGACCACGGAGACATTTTTGGACAGTGCTGACTCTTCGGCTTTGAAACGGAGATGAGTACCACCCCCTAGAGTTGGGAACAAGTAGCACATGTGTGCAAGGAGAACCTTTATCTTTACTTACTATGTAAATGAATTGACCCAGACAGTATGTTGTTCACTATGCACATATTGTATGTAAAGAGAAAACAAATAAAAAAATATTTTTAAAAAATCTGATATGAGCCATAGTAGTACACCCAGTGGCCATGAAAATCTTCAAAATAAAAAGAAATCTAGAGATAATAAATTTTAAGTAAATATGAGGCTTTAAATTTATTTATTTTTTTAATCCATTAAAATCAGAGAAAAGGGGAGAGGGCAGCCCACAAGGATAGATTTTCCCCATGAACCAAAATTTGCTGCATTTTGTATCCGAACGAATATCAGTTATCAGTGCTTTTCTCAAGAAATAGGTATTATATTATATTTTGGACACACACTTAGAAAGAGTGACAGGAGAAATCAGAAAGGGATGCCTGCCTTGGTTCTGGTTAACCTCTTTAATTGCTACCATTCCCTAATGTGTGAGCTTCCAAATTTATACTCCATTGCAAAATTGGAAGTGAGGGATGTCTGTTCCCTATTTAGATAACTATTTAGACTTGTCATTGCTGCCCAGTGTTTGGAACATCTAAAGTAGCATTTTACCTTCAAATCTGAAGCAGCCTGAGAATCATGTTTTGAATCATTAATTTCTGGCCACTGTCAACAGAATAGCATGAGAACAACAGCTTATGATTTCATAGTTAACTGATTGGTTTCTTTTCTGAAATCTGATCTTTCCTACTTAGGCAAACTTTTTGGATTCAGGCTACCTGGATGGAGTCTTTTTTCCTACAGAAAGCAATCTTTGCCACAAGAAGATCCTGATGCAGTGATTGTTGATTCATCAAAGCACAGCGACAACTCCATGGCCATGAAGCATTTTAAATCTCCTACAAAAGAAAGCTGCAGCCCCTCTGAAGGAGATGACACCAAGGCACTCATTCAACCAAGGACGTGTTCGCCTCCAGTGAATATATCTGGGCCTCTAGATCATTCATCACCAAAACAGCAGTGGGATCGACTGTACCCGGATATGCTGCATTCCAGCGCAGCATTGACTCTTGCTCAATCAAAAGAGAGCATCAGTAGTATAAGGAGGGCATCTTCAGTGCACAACATAGAAGGATTTACCATCCATCCGAAGAACATGTTTAGAGATCGGCATGCTAGTGAAGGTACAGTATTGGGCAAGGGGAAGGTGATCAATATTCATGAATTATGTCAACTGAATGGCTGGGAATAAAATGGGATATGTGCATGCCATTTTTAATCCAACTAGGACAAGATCTTTTGAAGTCTCTTTGTCTTTAAGAGTTAAGAGGAAATTCTAGCATGACATTAAGCCCTCTGTGGTTCATCATTTGTGACCCTATGCAAAGGGAAACTTATTTCCAAATCAATATGCTTCATATTGTGTTATAAGTCTCGGTGCATTAATTTGATAGTAAGTTCTAATAAAGGTTCTCTCATTATTTGGGTAACTGTTTATTGTAAAGTGGTATTAATACAAGAATGGTTCTTGACTGTTATGGCCACTTTCATATTCAGAAGGTCTTCATCCAGAGCATCCAAGAATCCTTCCTCCAGAAAATGCTTCACTCACTCACTCACTCACTCACTCACTCACTCACTCACTCAATCAATGTAGGTACCACCTGTTTTCAGACTGACTTGGGGAAGGGGCTCATAGATGGCGACATAAATACCTAATAACACACCGAACAGAAGATGGATGCAGATATGCTCAACACATAAAAAAAATATTATACTCCCATCACTGGCTCCGACCATCTTAGCCTAGAGCCTGAGAACACGGCCAGATCTTTAAGGTTTTCCAGAAAGCCACCAAGGGTAAACCAAATAGGAAACATGACTAGATGAGCTAATTCTACCTTATTGTAAGGCTACCTTAACAAATTTCCCACTTTAAGCTACCTGATGAATGAGGGTGATCTTTCCCAAGTTTCTTCCTTGGACCATTAGTGGATTGGAGGATCCCCCCTCTCTTATCTGATTGTTTCATGGGTAGCATGTCTTCCTTTTGTCCATCAAGATTACTCTTACATTCCATGACAGGGTAGAAGCCACCCAGCTTTCATAGAGAATTGCATCCCAGAGAGCAGGTGCCATAAAGGTGTGATTCCTGAATCTGAAAGATGACACTGCATTAACTGAAGGGACTACCATATTTTTCAGAGTATAAGACGCACTTTTTTTCCTCAAAAAAGAGGCTGAAAATCTGGGCGCGTCTTATACATCGAATACAGCATTTTTTGCCTCCTGAAGCCCCGTCCCCTTCACCAAAATGGCCGTGCATACCCTTATGGAGGTTTCAGAGAGCTCCTGGGGGCTGGGGAGGGCAGAAATAAGCAAAAAAACGGGCTTTCCCATCCCCCAACAGCACTCTATAAGCCTCCATAAGGCTTTACATGCAATTTGTTTGACAAAAACAGGCCCGTTTTTGCAAAAAATGGGCCTTTCTGGCTCATTTTTGCCCCACCCCCACCCCCAGGAACACTCTGCAAGCCCCTCCCCCCAAGGCTATTCATGCCTTTTATTTGAAAAAAACAGGCCCGTTTTTGCAAAAAATGGGCCGTTTTTGGGAGGTTTGCATAGTGCAAAAACTTTTTTTTCCTTTTGGAAAGCTCTTTAACTGATTGATGAGAATTAGATTGATCAAGTGCTGTGCCAGCAGAAACAAAGTCTTACGTACTGCAGATTGTCAGTGATTTCCTTCTCCAGCACATGGATAAATACACCTGGAAACATCTACCTACCTACCTACTCTTTCTCTCTCCCTACCTACCTACCTACTGTATTTCTTCCTCTCTCTCTCTCTCCCTCCCTCTATCTACCTACCTACCTACACACACTCTCTCTCCCTATCTATCTACTGTGTTTATCTATCTATCTATCGATCTATCTCTTTATCTATCTCTAGCTCGATTTCTCTCTATCCCTTTATCTATCTATCTACCTACCTAACTATTCCCTCTCTCTCTCCCTATGTACCTACTGTATTTCTCTCTCTTTCTCTCCTCTCTATCCCTCTATCTACCTACGTACTTTTTAAAATTTGCCTCTTCAAAACCTTGGTGCGTCTTATACTCCGGTGCGTCTTATACTTCAAAAGATACAGTAGTTGTCTGCCCAACCTGGCAGTCTGAATCATCAACGTGTATGCATATTGTTTCAAGAGAAAGATATTCCTTGCTTCACAAATAAAACCCTTGTTCATCTTCATGCAACTGATTGATTAGAATGCGTATTTTACTAATTGAGCAGTTGGTTGACTGCATTCTATTATTGATTAATCCAGGAAAATTGCATAATCAATTACAATTTCTTAAGTCAATTTAGCCTCCAAATTTAAAGAACAGCCCCTCCTGAGATAGATCACATCCATTTAAATGGCTGTTCCAGCTAATTTGAAAACACTTTTGAGCACTCTGGGAAATGTTGAAGAGCAGTTGAATGAGGACAACTTTTGGTTCTTAATTCTAAAAAGAGAAAATTAGTCTCCCGTTCACTACGTTAGCTGATTCACCCAAATTTAATGTTGGCTCCTTCAAAATGTATTGGGGAACCAAGAAGGGGGGAAAATATCATCAGTTTGGAGTCTTTGGATACACAGTTTATTTCCCCCTTTTGCTTTTCTTTATTCTGCTGAATAACAGACAATGGTCGCAATGTCAAAGGTAATGTAAATTTATCACCTCTATTGTTCGGTGCTTTTGAGAGACACATTATTTGGCATGCTATATAAACTGTACAAATGCATCATACTCATGCTAACCTTTATGAAGCTGGGCACATTATAGGAATTACTGTTCTTTTTGCTTGATGGATGCATCACAATTCTCTTTGCTCTCAATTGGGAGTGATGATAGATGGCTATTCAGAGGAAGCTGTGAAGGGATGCACAGTATGTTCTTTCAAAGCCATTGGCTTCACTTAGTCACAATGCAATCCTCTACTTGTCTATCCAAAGGAAACTTCCCATCCTTTCTCTGGGGCTTTTTCCTTGGTCACTGATTCGAGCAGCACATCCTGCCAAGCCCCTTTGATTTGAGTGGGAGAGTTGAGCATGTGCTTAATTCTCTCCCATCAAATCCCCCAGGAGGGCTTAAAAGTTTGGACTTTGGCTGGATTGTACTTGTGTCAACTTGTTGAAGAAGGTAGACTGTGGATGCTGCCAATCCGACGCAGATACCATAACTTGACGTTTTCAAGATAATACCATGTTGTAAAAAAAGTATTACAAATTGAGCTTTGCATGATTGAAACTAGCCGCCCTTGATTCATTTTAAATCCAATTCAGTTTTATCATTCTGACACCAAGGCAATCAGTGAATAATCTGGACCCTTCACGTATTCCTCTTTTGTCTCCTTAAAACTAGTTTCGCGCTCCTGGATGGCAGGGGGTATGGTTTAAGCTTACTGTAGTCTTCAGGTGTGCTTGCATGAATTCCATTTGCAATTTCATGTGGAAAACATGCTTGTTCATATTGATTACATGCTAGTATTGGTCCTTTTCACCGGGACAACAATGTAAAGCAAAGTTAGCCAAATGGAGACATTCCTTTCTCTAGCTAAGTACAGTAGAATCCTTTTCACATATATATATTTTCCCCGTAACAAACTTATAAATTTGTGTTTATAGCCTAAATTTAAGAGGAAGGCAGGATGAAGGAAGAGCTTTCATTTTTGCTCCTCTTCAATGTGTCATTGAATATACTTGATGAAATGTCTCCATCAAAGCTGCATGATGTGCATGAGCTAATGCCCACAAGTGACCCATTCCTAGGAAGTCTTCATTTGCTTCTTGTCTCCATCAGCGGTGGTTTTGATATTGTGTGGCACCATGTTGTAAGTGAACAAGTGTCTGTAAATGAACTTGCTGCTGGCTCAAAGTACTTAAGACTCTGTCTATTTCTCTATTTATTGTAACTATAGATCAGGTGTGTCAAACCCAAGGCCTGGTGGAGGGATCCGGGGTGCTTAGATCCAGCCCATGGGGCCACCCTGGAAACAGCAAAGGACCAGCCTGCAGTGCCTCTGCCAGAAAAAAACGGAGCTCTGGTGGGCCAGTATGACCCTCCCATGCTCTGTTTTCCGTGGCAGAGGGTTACAGGAGGCCATCGCAGCTGAAAATGGAGCTGGGAGACCATTTTTACTGGCAGAGCGCTCAGGCCACCAAAGGCACCCCCAATACAAGTGGTGTTGAACTGGCCGTGCCCCCCCATCTCCCCCCAAGATCAAACACACCCCTGATGCGGCCCTCAAAGAAATCGTATTTGACACCCCTGCTATAGATCCACATCAGTGTTCCATAATCTTTAAAGCCAATTTAAGATTCTCAGAGGGAAATGAACATATTTCTGGTAGAAGCCTATTCCATAGGAACAAGCTTTCCATAAAGAAATATTCTGTTTCTTGTGCCTGCCAGCCTAGTAGTTCTTGTGAATAAGCTCTTGAAAAGGGCCTCCAGAGCTGATCTTAGAAGCCTTAGAAGTTAACTTGCTTCAGCAAAGTAAGACTTAAATCTGCATGAATAATGAACATAAGAAAAGCAGGTATAGAGCAGAGCACTAACTCGTGCTGCTCTTCCATTTTTGAAATCTTGTACTTGTACTTGACGCCTCTTCACCCATCGTGGGTATAGGCGACTTCCATGGAAATTTGACGCCACTGTATCCGTTTGAAGTGACGCAGAGTGGCGATCCATGGAAGCTGTTTCGGCTGGATATACCCAAGGGGACGCCAGTCCCAAGGGTCGACAGAGCCCGATTGGTGGGAACGGGGGGCACCACGTGAAGGCCGGGTTGTCGTTTGATAGTTGAGAGGCTTTGCAATAAGCGTTGCAATGTATATTTTGCGCATCAACTATCCTTGCCCGCCCTTTTTGAAATCACAGATGGAACACATCTGCAACAATGGCTCAAAAGACACCCAGGATTATCCAGGTTTTGGAGTAATTCAGGAGCACATGTGTCACTGAAATTAAGCAATCTTCTTTTCTCCCTAATTTGGACATTTAGCTATTCAGGAAGTATTTATGTATGGGATACATTTGTGGTCCATCTTTCTTCTATTGTCGCAACAACTCTCAGAAGCTGGCAGAAGGTAATATGCTCAAGGATCCTTTTTCAGCCTTAGAGCTGCCCTTCTGCCTGCCTGAAGGCACCAGGAGACAAGGCTGGCAATGTGACATCAGAGAAGGTGGGCCTAAAATTTTTGGATCCTTTTCAGTGGATTAGGAAAGGTAAATAAATAACATCTTATTTGCCCCTTCAGCACAGATATATGCACCTTAAACAGAAGCAACATACTATTTGGGGAAAGTTGCGTATTTTAGAATATAATGAAAAAAATCTGCTGTCCACCGAGAGAATCCAGAATCTAAAATCTTCAGGAATCCAAGAAACCAGATTTTTTTTTACTTGCACTCCTTCAGCAAATGCTATTTACAAGTATACTGCCTTTGAGTCTGGAATTCTCATACAATAATAACTATAGATTTCTTCTAAATTCATAATTTAAAAAGTTCATGGGCTCCAGACTTTAAAAGCCCATCATTCTCAATCTAGCGTGAAATAAAGCTTTCAGGGCTAAGTGTGTCTAGATTAAATCCAAGATATTACTCCACTAATGGATTTCTGCTTCCACTTGTGTTCACTCAACTAGCTCAGAAATCTGTAAACTCTGAAGAAATAGATTCCCGCTTTCTCTATAATTTCTCTCTTTTTAAAATTTCCTCTAGTTGAAGGACCCTACAAAGACTGGGTAACAGAATCATTTACAGTAGTAGAAAGCATGAGAAGTCCTGATTCAAGAATGGTGTGTGCAATGGACACACACACACAGGACGCACACACACACACACCTACCTCCCACTGAATTATTTACTACTTCAAGGCACTACCCTGTTTCCCTGAAAATAAGACCTCCCCGGGATAATAAGCCCAATCGGGCTTTTGAGCGCATGGGCTAAAATAAGCCCTTCCTGAAAATATTGCAATACAGCAGCAACCATGAGATGACCACGCTCGCTGCCTCCTGCACCTCAAAAATAATAAGACCTCCCCGAAAATAAGCCCAAGGACTTATTTCAGGGGTCAAAAGAAAATAAGACCCTCACTTATTTTCAGGGAAACATGGTATATTCTGCCCTTCTTCCACAATTGAAGTGTTGGCAGATTCTAAGCTAGACAGTTATCAAGTCTGGTTGAAAAACAAAAATAACAATAAAGGTAATTTACTTTTTTAGTTATCTGGAAAGTGGCTCAAGACATTATATCAGCTGATACCTTCTTTTTCTTCTAGGTCCTTTTAACCATATCAAGTCAAGTCTGTTAGGATCGACATCTGATTCAAACCTCAACAAATACAGCACCATCAATAAGATTCCCCAGCTCACTCTAAACTTTTCTGATATCAAAAATGAAAAAAAGGCATCATCACCTCCATCATCAGAGAAAACAATTATTGCACCCAAAGTGAAAGAAAGAACACACAATGTCACTGAAAAGGTTACCCAGGTGAGAGATTTTGCATATGTAATTGTGCCTCTTCTCTAATTTCTGTGAATGCTCCATTCCTTCTCTTCATGTCTGCATGCTTTTGTTAGACTTGTGCAGTTTGATTCTTCTGGATGAAATAGAATGACCACAATTCTTCTAGCAACATACACAGAGGAAAATTAATGTAGATTACACCTATAATTATTCAGAGAAAGGGCTCTGTGAGGGAAAGTGCATTATGTTATTGTAAGTGAATTCTGTGGAAGATCACAGACTTATCTGTTTAACTCGGTTATATCTATTTTTTCTTCATGTTTTCAAAAGTTTTTATTTAACATAAAACGTTCCATTCTCATATGAACAGTGTGTTGTCTGAGTACAATTAATTTTTAGAAATAGCAATTATAACAATAATATTCATAACTTTCATATTAATCACTTAATAATATTTGTTTATCTATTTCAATAAACCTTCCATATATAATTAATCATTCTCTTATGCTTCTACATTTTTAGATTCTGTTTCTACTAGTTAGCCATTGATAAAATAAATCAGGTATATCTGATATAGTAGTACAGATACTATTCTATGGTGGCCTTGGTTCATTCTGTTTACCTACCTGACTGTGAATAATATACAGAAGTCAAATTAACTTGAGTGAAATTTAGCACTTTCTTCCAGTCCTAATATCCAAGTTGTCATATGTTACATAGACTATAAGAAGTATATGCACATCACATTACAAGAGTCGGACTATTTAAGAAAGACAAATGTCAGTGTTCCAAATATCATCCAGAATTAAATCAGAATTCGAGGCATAGCTTTCATCAAAGTTCTAATTTAATAAGAGAGACATGTTGGTACAAACTTTGGAAACCTAAATCTGAAAGCTTCCTGGGTTTCCACCCAGTTGAAAGTTCAAGACCTTGTCCCCATACCCACAAGTTCATCACATGGTCCAATGTTCCTCTGCCACACTGGCATTTCCACCCATTTAGTTCCGGTCAGGTACAGAGGTGTGGAGACAAAAGATGACCTTGGGCTTCTGGAAAGGAATGTCTTATTATACAACAATGCATTCTGCTCCTGACTATTCCCCCTCCCTATTCCCCACTAATGAAACAGCATAGAAAAAATAATAGAAAGTGTGGCAGGCCAAAGTTCCTAAAAGGAATATGACTGCAGGCCTGACAACAAAATCAAGACATGAAGTTCAGGCTGGTGACTTGAGCACTGATTCCAGTACACCATCAGGGAGATCTTACTATACTTATATTTCTTGTAGATTCAATTTCCAGGCAAGTCACATGGTCATAACTATTTCCTAGTTGTTAAAGTTGGTCAGTCAAGTAAACAGATCTTTCTGCTTTTCTACTCTAATTCCTGTGTCGCTTAGTACAATATGGCACCTTCATATGGAGCCTCGGTGGCACAGTGGTTAGAGTGCAGTGGTTAGAGTGCAGTACTGCGCAGTGGTTAGAGTGCAGTACTTCTGCTGACTATTGGCTGCCTGCAATTTGGCAGTCAAAACCATGTTGACTCATCCTTCCATCCTTCCGAGGTCAGTAAAATGAGGACCCAAATTGTTGAGGACAATATGCTGACTCTGTAAACTGCTTAGAGAGGACTGTAAAGCATTGTAAAGTGGTCTATAAGTCTAAGTGCTATTGCTAATGATTCTTCCGAGTNGTAAGTAAGTAAGTAAGTAAGTAAGTAAGTAAGTAAAGGGTTAGTGTAATTTTTAGATCCCAATCATTGCTCACCACAAAAAACAGGTTGTCAGTGCAAGGAAGAATACAGAAAGAAAGAAAGGGCAAAAGGAAAAAAGGATGAGAAGAGAAAAAACATTCAAAATTATACCAATTAATGAGGATTAATGCAGGAATTAGGTATGGCTAGACTAGAAAAAAGAAGGACTAGGACATGATAGTAGTGTTCCAGTATTTAAGGGGCTGCTACAAAGAAGACAAAGGAGCTGACTGTGGCTCAGATCATGAGCTTCTCATCGCAAAATTTAGGCTTAAATTGAAGAAAGTAGGGAAAAGCACTAGGCCATTCAGATATGAGCTGAATCAAATCCCTGAGGAATATACAGTAGAGGTGACAAATAAATTTAAGGAATTAAATCTGATAGACAGAGTGCCTGAAGAACTATGGACAGAGGTTCGCAATATTGTACAAGAGGTAGCAACTAAAACCATCCCAAAGAAAAAGAAATGCAGGAAAGCAAAATGCCTGTTCGAGGAAGCTTTACAAATAGCTGAGGAAAGAAGGGAAGCAAAAGGCAAGGGAGAAAGAGAAAAATACATCCAATTGAATGCAGAATTCCAGAGAATACCCAGAAGAGATAAGAATGCCTTCTTAAATGAACAGTGCAAATAGAAGAAAACATTTCATGCAAAGATGGGCATGGTAAAGGACCAGAATGGTAGGGACCTAGCAGAGGCAGAAGAGATTAAGAAGAGGTGGCAAAATTACATAGAAGAACTATACAAGAATGACCTTAACGTCCTTGATAATCATGATGGGGTGGTCGCTGATTTCGAGCCAGAAATTCTGGAATGTGAAGTCAAATGAGCGTTAGGAAGTCTGAGCAATAACAAAGCTAGTGGAAGGGACAGTATTCCAGCTGAGCTGTTCAAAACCTTAAAAGACAATGCAGAAAAAGTGCTATACCCAATTTGCCAGCAAATTTGGAAAACTCAACAGTGGCTACAGGATTGGAAAGGATCAGTTTACATTCCAGTTCCAAAGTATTAAAGACCAGGCGTGAGGTAAACTTCAATAGCTTTATTAACGTTAATGGTATAACAGAAGTTCAGTATTCGGACAGCGCTCGCGCGCCTGACAGCTCTTTATATACTAGAGCTGTCAGGCGGCTGACCAATAGTTGGCCAGCAATTCTCCCGCCAGCCGGAGGGTGCGTCGGGGCCAATCAGGATCTAAGTCCGGGCCTCATCTACAGCTATCTTCATGGATAGCTCCCTGTGTGCCAGGATCTTTCTGTGCAGATTGATATTGAGGAGCCCGTGTATGAATTGTTCGTGGAGGGCGTCCTCTAAATCTGCGAACTCACAATTCATTGCAGCGGCCCAAAGTTCGGCAACGTACTGAGCTATGGATTGGCCCTGCTTCTGAAGGCAACGCCGGAAATATTGTCGGTGGGTATACTTAGGGGCGCTGGCTTGTAGTGTAGCTTGAGCCGCTCTATTAAAACGTCCAGAGGTAACGAGTGTAAGCTCTGGTGCAGCTAAGGCCCGGGCGGTAGCAAACATCTCGGGCCCGCAATAATGAAGAAGGTATCCCGACGCCTCCCCTCAAGGAGCTCAGAGAGGTCGTGGGCCATGAGGAAAACCTCGAATCGTTCCAAAAAATGTGTCCCATGATTCGGCCTCTGGCCGGAAAGCGGCGAATACCGACGATGGAGCCAGGGCTGGGATGATGACTGGGTCCGAGTTGGTCATCCTCGTCGCCAGTATTAAAGACCAGGCGTGAGGTAAACTTCAACAGCTTTATTAATGTTAACGGTATAACAGATGTTCAGTACTCGGACAGCGCTCACGTGCCTGACAGCTCTTTATATACTAGAGCTGTCAGGTGGCTGACCAATAGTCGGCCAGCAATTCTCCCGCCAGCCGGAGTGTGCGTCGGGGCCAATCAGGATCTTGCAGCTCTGGCCCCGCCCTCTGGCTGGGACGGGAGGATGTAACACAAAGGGCAATGCCAAAGAATGCTCAAACTACCACACCATTGCACTCATTTCACATGCTAGCAAAGCTGTGCTTAAAATCCTACAAGCAAGGCTCCAGCAGTATGTGGACTGAGAACTACCAGAAATACAGGCAGAATTTTGAAGAGGCAGAAGAACTAGAGATCAAATTGCCAACATACACTGGATTATGGAGAAAACTAGGGAGTTCCAGAAAAACATCTACTTCTGCTTCATTGACTATGCTAAAGNTTCAGGTAGGGCCGCAACTGGCGCACCAGGCGAACCTGGGCAAATGCCCCCCTGGTCACAGCCGACAAGTGGTGGTCAAAACTCAGCTGTGGATCAGCTGAAGGCTGCATTACTTCAAAGCTGTTGTTCAGTCTGAAATATATCTTTGAGAGTTAGAAACATGTTAATGGCCTCTAGGAGTTCTCAGAACATTATACTGTGGAGGCAAGAATATCAATCAAGCAATGCAGGAAAGAAATGAATTGGGCCTGTTCTTAGTTCTCCTGAGACTCTGCCATATATTGTCTACATACAAAGAAAAGGAATGTTGTTGTGTATCAGCAAGAAGTGTCTAAGCTTATTGCGAATCACATTTGTTACAACAAGAATGCAGAATGGACTTTTACGTTAGCCGCCAGCAATTTCACTTGTGTATGTACACGTGTGTCTCAAGCCACATCATGTGACAAACATGTTTTTAAGTCTCACTCACAGCTTCCTTTGATGATGTGTGGACCAAGCAAATTTAAGTAAGAAGCTTATTGTTTTTGTCCCCTGCAAACAGTTTATAACTGCATCTTCCAGAGGTTTAACTCTTCCCTTCTGGATCCCTCAGTGCTGTCTATTGAAATACTTTGCAAAGGAGGTGTCTGCATGCTGGTGTAACATTTACATATTAGGACTGCTGGGATTGGTCTATACATATTATAGCTTTGGGTTCAGAAGGAGCTAAGACTTATGACAAATGTCAAAAATAACAACAAAAAAAAGCTTTTTGGAAAGGTTGGTCCTCTAGTGGGAAAAGATGACAAGCAGGTGATGGGCAGCAGGGAGAAAGCAGAACTGCTTAATTCCTTCTTCTTCTTCTTTTGCATCTATCTTTACACAAAAAGAATAAAAATCTAACCTTCAGAAGGAGTACCTTTGGGAGACAGAAAAGAAATGCAGGTCAAAAATAGATAAGAAATCAACAGAGGGATAGTGTCAAGATTGAGGGAAGTGATAGAACTGCATTTGGATTACTGCATCCCGTACTGGTCATCACAATACCAAAAATCCTGAGGCCCTAGAAAGAGT